GATTGGGACCGGCGCTGGGCACTAGCAGTGGGTGCGAGCACCGGGTGGGACCATGGCACTTGGGAGCAAAGAATTTTCAGTAACCACCAGAGGCTCACCCTGATGACAGCAACCGATGCCCCACCTTGGTCTGATGCCTCCACTCACCTGCTCCACCATCCTGCCACAGCCCACGTCTGCCATGTTCCGCACACCCCCCCCCCTGATGGTCAGCACACATCGTAGCGACCAGTTGTTCTGCCATTCGGTGTATTCGTATATTTGCCTTTTATTATAGTACTAGAGGCCCGGTGCACAAAAATTTGTGTACTGGGGGGGGGGGGGTCCCTCAGCTTGAAGGTGTGGGGGGTCCTGCTGGGGTGCCTGGCCAGACTGGGTGAGGGCTGATGGCTGTTTGCAGGCTGGCCATGGCCCCCAGCCACCCAAGCTCCCAGTGGAGGCTGGCTGGAAGCCAGTATCTGGGATTCATTTATCTTCTGTAATGGAAACTTTGTTGCCTTGAGCGGAGCCAACAGCCGGCCAGGGCAGGCGGGAAGCTTGGCTTCCTCCACCACTGGGGCAACTAAGCCTCCTGCTTGCTCCAGCTCCGTGCTGCCATCTTGGTTGAGTTAATTTGCATATAGTTGCTCTGATTGGCTGGTGGGCATGGCTTGTGAGTATAGCGAAGGTATGGTCAATTTGCATGTTTCTATTTTATTAGATAAGATGGGATAGGATAATCCTTAACACTCCCTTCTGTCTCCTAAATAAATTACACAGATGATATCATCAGATCTCCGTGAGTTTTAAAACTAAATGTTCTAACTATCATAAATTAGAAATAAAAGAGAGGTTATCATTAATATATATATATATATATATTCGTTTCTAGGTGTAAATGCTTGGCTAAGACCTCACCAGAGACTTGGTGAAGTATTTAAAGGCTCTCATCTACTTATACTGAGTAAAGGATGAATTTAAGAGTAAAGGAGAAGTGAAGTTGCTTTTTCTTTGTATTTGGCTTTTTAAAATGAAGATTAAGTATTCCCAAAAAGGAAAGGATTTTCTAAAACGCTGAACAACTCTTAATAAAATTGCAAAGAAAACAAAGCACAATCTTCCAAGCGACAGTGCGGCCCTGGAAGCTAAGACCACTTCTGTGTGTACTCGGGGTTGCTGCCAGGCGGAGAGCACACCCGCCCTGCAGGACAGGGTTCCACCCATCGCCGTCTGACCGCCGCGCTCTGCAGGGTTGTCCTGCCAGCCAGGACTTGCAGCGCCTGTAGGACAAACTAGACCATCCACGCGTGTCCAAAGTCGGTGGTGAGGACCTCTGCCTCCGCACAGGCCGCTCCTCCGTCGCGAGCCCCCAGCAAACCCGGCACGTTCCCAGGATTGCAGGGGACAGCGCCTGGGCAGCTCCGCCCGCCTGCCGGGAAGTGCCCATCTGCTCGGTTGTCCCGCCCGGGGTCCGCCTTGTGACTTCCTGGTAGTAAATCCTCTTTAAGGATTATTACTCCCGGTGAGGAGAGCCATTCTTCCAGGAAGCCACAAGGGGGCGCCTGAGACCCAGAATCAGAACATTCGCAGGTTTGTGAGAGGTTAAAATGAAATGTCTGCAGCTGCAAGCTTAAAAGGAGGGGAAAAAATCATCATTGGACCTGCGTTGTGCTAAACGGTCTACTCTTTGGCGGCGCCGTTCAGTTTTCCAATATCCACTGTTAGCACTGAAAATTTTTGTAAATGGCATTTCCAATCCTCCCAAATAATATGATTTTGATATCATACTAGCAACTTTAACGTTCTCCCAGAGACACCGATGGAAACAGGCAAAAAATTGCGATGGCCAAGCAATTGGCCAGTTCTTGCCGCCCCCAACACCCACCACACTTCTCTAGAAATAATAATAACAGTCATAACTTTTTCTTGAGAACGTACCATGTGTGACTGTTTTGGGTTCTTTACAAACACACACATATTTTCTCTTCCATCAGTCATACTGCAAGGTGGAATCTTGCTCCTTCCTTTCCTCAAACCTACTCCTGCCTTTGTATTAATGGCCTCACTGTCCTCCTCTCCTCCCTGCCCCCAGGCGAGAAACTTGTGACTCACTTCAGGCTTCTCCTGGTCCCCCATCTTCCAACCCCACCCATCTGATCCCTGACCCCCCCCCCCCCCCAGCAAACCCTCTATTTGACTCAGACCTGCGCAGTGGTTCTCAACCTTCCTAATGCTGCGACCCTTTAATACAGTTCCTCATGTTGTGGTGACCCCCAACCATAAAATTATTTTCGTTGCTACTTCATAACTGTAATTTTGCTACTGCTATGAATCGTCATGTAAATATCTGATATGCAGGATGTATTTAGGCGACCCCTGTGAAAGGGTCGTTCGACCCCCAAAGGGGTCGAGACCCACAGGTTGAGAACGGCTGTGCTGGAGTGTCCTCAGAGACACGGTGCCGCCAGCGGTATGTGAAGGGCCCCTATGCCCACATCCTGGCCCACACTGGACCTGATCCAGCTTTATAATTTTTGTAGGATTAATGGTTGCAAAGTGATGCCTGCACAGTTTAAGTTCCCATCCAGTAATTTACATTTAGGTCTTTTAAGCCATCTGTGTATGCGCTGCTCAGATCCTGAAACCTCTATTTCCCTAGCATCCCTGGCCCTCTCCCTGGCCCTCATGTTCTGAACTCAAGTCAGGGAACGTCCACACTGTTTTCCCTGCCTCTGCTCTCCTCACACTGCACTCAGCCAGCGTTTAAAGCGCAGGCAGGAGCATGGACCTGCACAGAGTCCTTCAGTAACTTCCCAGCATCCTTAATAAATACACCAACTTCTCACTTGGACCTTGGAGGTCTTGCAGAACCTGGCTCCAGCTGGCTTTTCAGCCATATCTTCTCCTTTCCTCTCCCACCAATAGCAGCTCCAGACGCCACGGCCCTGACCTCCCCGCTGGCCTGACTCTATTCCTCGGCTCACGCTCCTCTTGCACACATCTCTAGTGCCCTCCTTGCACTACTTGTTGCCCCTCAAGGCCTGGGATCAAAGGCAGCCTTCCCTAAGGTATGGGCTAGCCCAGGCCTCCACCTCCCTGAACGCCCCAGGGCTTGCCAAGCACTGAACCCTTTATGCTTGTGTTTTTGTCCCATGTGGCCTTGTCCAGTATCTCCCACCAGAGCTGGGTCTCCTGGAGGGCCGGCTATACATCTGATTCATTTCTCCCTCCCTGACCCCAGCATTCACCCAAGCCAGTCTATACTGCAGGCAGGGAAACCAGGTGGCAGGCTGCAAGATGACTCTGCGGGGAGACAGCGCCTCCCCAGGCTGGGAAATGGAAAGGAGAAAGGAAGAAGGGGATACTGGAAGCACTCTTTGATTAGTTGATCTTGAGGCTTAATAGGAGGAGAGATTGGAGAACACTCCCAGCTCCTAGGCTTGGCGATTTGCTGGTGGGCATCAGGAGAAGTAGGGGCAGAGTTTGGCTTAGCTGTGCTTGTGACTGTGATGACAGGACACAGGGCTGCTGAGCAGGCAGTTAGCTCAGCAGGGGGCCGAAGAGACCGGAGCCTGAGGTGGAGATTGGGGTCATCAGTGTAGAGGTGGCATCGGACTCCAGGGCATGCATGAGATTGCCCAGGGAGGCCAAGGACAGTGAACCCTGAGGAGGCAAACATGGAAGAGGTGGCTGGGGAAGACCGAAAGAATGGCCAAGCTTGAGTAAGAGCGTGGTGTCCTGAAAACCAGGGAGAAGAATGTCAGTGAATGACTGGCACAGAGTCAGGTGCTGTGAGAAAACTAAGACTGAAGTGCTTCCATCCCAGCCCTCTCAACTCACCGTCCTCCCTCCTCTCTCCTCAGCGCCTGCCTTCCTTCCTTCCTTCCTTCCTTCCTTCCTTCCTTCCTTCCTTCCTTCCCTCTTTCCTTCCTTCCTTCCTCCTCCCTTCCTTCCTTCCTTCCTTCTTTCCTTCCTTCCCTCTTTCCTTCCTTCCTTCCTTCCTTCCTCCCTCCTTCCTTAACTCCTTCCTTCCTTCCTCCCTTCCTTCCTTAACTCCTTCCTTCCTTCCTTCCCTCTTTCCTTCCTTCCTTCCTTCCTTCCTTCCCTCCTTCCTTCCTTCCTCCTTCCTTCCTCCCTTCCTTCCTTAACTCCTTCCTTCCTTCCTCCCTTCTTCCTTAACCTCCTTCCTTCCTTCCTCCCTTCCTTCCTTAACTCCTTCCTTCCTTCCTTCCATCTTTCCTTCCTTCCTTCCTTCCTTCCTTCCTTCCTCCCTTCCTTCCTTAACTCCTTCCTTCCTTCCTCCCTTCCTTCCTTAACTCCTTCCTTCCTTCCTTCCCTCTTTCCTCCTTCCCTTCCTTCCCTCTTTCCTTCCTTCCTTCCTTCCTTCCTTTCCTTCCTTCTTCCTTCCTTCCTTTCTTCCTTCCTTCCTTCCTTCCTTTCTTCCTTCCTTCTTTCCTCCCTTCCTTCCTCCCCCCCCCTTTTTATTGAACATATTGGGATGACATTGGTTAATAAAATTATATAGGTTTCAGGGGTACAGTTCCATAACACATCACCTTTACACTGTACTGTATGTTCATCACCCCAAGTCAAGTCTCCTTTCACTCTTCTACCTCCCCCACCCCCTTTCCCTCTGGCAATCACCACACTGTGGGCTGTGAGGTTTTGGTGTTTTCTCTTAATTATCTTGTCTGCTGAGCAGGCGCAGCCCGCTCCTCCTCTGGGGTTTCCTGCAGCGAAAGCCAAACAGCTGGTGTTTCCCTTCCCAAGGCACCTTTCACCCGGAAGCAGCCTGCAGGCAGAGGCTCAGACCAGGAGTTCCCAACACACCAGAGCCCACCCTTGCCCTTCATCTTTCTGGTCACCTGTGCTTCTATCGCCTCCTTTATCAATTAAAAACAAATTGGGGAGGGGGGGGATAGAAACAGTCATTTGGCTTTTGAACTGGATGTCGAAGAGGGTGGCAGGTGCCTAAGGGGTGGAACTCCAGGGTGGGGGTGAGAGCGGGGCGGGTATTAAATAATAGACATAATAGAAAAACACCAGGGGAGTGGCCGTATTTTATTCTCCAGGCCATGATGCAGCTTTAATGGCTGCTTTGCAAAGCTTAAGGAAGTTCAGGTCTCAGACTCAGAGCGGAAGATGGAGGAGGAGGAGGAGGAGACTCAGGGTGGGCGTGGCCTCCTCCACCTTGGCCAAGGACCTCCCTCCTTTGCATCTGAAAACCCAGCTCCAGCTCCCCCTGTGCCCCCACCTCTTGCTTGGTCAGGCCCCAGAGGTCACGAGGCCCCGAGCTCTGTCTACCCTGCACCTAGGGGTCCCCTGTCCGAGCCTCAATAGACACAGTGACCCTCACAGAGCCGCAGCTCGACTTCAGTTCCCATCCCTGAGCTGCGTTGAACGTCATTCCCGGGGAGCCTGAGCCCTGCCTGGGCGACAGCTGGACGTTCAGCCAGCGACACTGGGCATCGTCACACGCCAGCACCACGGTGCCTTCGGGGTTGCTGTAGGTGCACCGTTTCCGGGCTGCCCGGTCCTCCGCAACCAGATCCCAGCTGTCCCCGGGCTCCCTGTCCTCCGGCCCCGGGGCCTGGTAGCCCACGCGGTCTCGGGTGACCGGGCACACCAGCTGCTCCTCCTTCAAGGCGGGCACCACCTGGCCCTTCAGGTAGGCGGGGCCCGCACAGTAGGTCTGGATGTTGAAGAGCCTGTCGCTGTACTGGCGCAGCCACCTGGAGAGGTAGGCCAGGTGGCAGTCGCACTGCCAGGGGTTGCCGTGCAGGGCCAGGTTGAAGAGGTTGTAGTTGGTGTCGAAGATGCCCGGGGGCAGCGTGGCCAGCAGGTTCCTGGAGAGGCTGAGCAGCTCGAGCTTGGTCAGGTTCTGGAAGAGGTCTGCGTGCAGCGCTGTCAGGTTGTTGCTGCCCAGGTTGAGCTTGACCAGCTCGGTCAGGCCCCTGAAGACGCCGGCGGGGAGGCGGGCGATGGCGTTGTGAGACAGCGTCAGCGAGCTGAGGTTGGACAGCCCGGAGAAGGCTCCCTCGGAGACGGTCTCCAGCTGGTTGTGGGACAGGGACAGGCCGGATAGGCCCGGGCTGTGGGCGAAGAGGCCCGCGGGCAGCACCCGCAGCGCGTTCCCCTGCAGGTTCAGGAAGGTCAGGCTGCCCAGCGAGGAGAAGACGGAGGGCGGCAGGTGGCCCAGGGCGTTGCGCTGCAGCCACAGCTTCTCCAGGCGGAAGAGCTGCGAGAACACGGCCGGGGGCAGCTCCGAGATGCCGTTGCCGTCCAGGAAGAGCTCCCGCAGGCGGCCCAGGCCCGCGAACAGGCGCGGGGGCAGGCGGGAGAGCGCGTTGTTGCTCAGCTGCAGCGTCTGCAGGCTGCCCAGGGGCGCAAACAGCTCGTCGGGCAGCTGGGCCAGCTGGTTCTGGGCCAGGTTGAGGGTCTCCAGGCGCGCCAGTGGCTGGAAGAGCCTGGCGGGCAGCGTCGGCAGCAGGTTGCCCTGCAGCTGGAGGGACTGCAGGGCGTCCACGTGGCGGAAGAGGTCCTCCGGCAGCGCCTCCAGCCTGTTGAAGTTGAGGGTGAGCTTGCCCAGCGAGGCCAGGTGGGAGAAGATGTCAGCGCTGAGGCTGGAAAAGGCGCTGCCGGTGACCTCCAGGTCCCGGAGCCCGGGCAGCCCCCCGAAGGCATCGGGCTCCAGGCGGGAGAGCTGGGTGTTGAGGAAGACCACCTTGGTGAGGTTGGGGCTGCCGCCGAAGGCCCTGGCGCCCACCGCGGTGAACGCCGTCTCCACGAAGACGATGTCGGTGGCGCCGGGCGGGATGTCCCGCGGGACCGCGGCCAGCTCCTCGTCGGAGCAGAACACCTCCCGGGCGAAGCAGTCGCAGCCCGCAGGGCAGGGCCGGGCGAGCCGGGCCAGGAGCAGGAGGCAGGCCCCGGGCAGCCAGGCGCCAGGAAGCATCTCCTAGACCCGGGCGGGAAGAGAAGGGGGAAGGGCTGTCTGTGCGGGGCTGTGCGGCCCGGTGGCCAGTGCGCGGGCCGGGGAGCCAGGAAATGGGCATCGGCTGTCAGGGAGGCCAGCCGTTTGGACAGCAGTGTACGTTCTTGTTTTTTAAAGAACTCGTGTATTTATTTGTTTTTATTTTCTGTTAATCCTCACCGGAGGATACTTTTCCTTTGCTTTTTAGAGAGAGTGGGAGGGAGGGGGAGAGGCAGAGAGAGAAACATCCGCCTGCCAGACACATCGATCTGTTGCCTCCCACAGGAGCCCGGACCAGGGCCAGAATGGAGCCTGCCCTTGACCAGAATCAAAGGTCCAGGCTTTATCCGCTGAGCAAACCGGCCAGGGCCAGTTTATGTTTTTCATGGTTTTCCTACCACCTCGTGGCAGCCTTGCAAGGTCGGCAGGACCAGGGTTCTCGCCTCCCCACAGCGAGGAGGTCCCATGGCCTGTCCACAGCCGCTGCAGGTGGGCAGCAGGCCCAACGCCTGGGTCTCCTGGGCTCCCCATGTTGTTCCAGATTGGAGGCAGGGGCAGAAAGGCATGGAAGAAAGGAAGAAAAGACTACGTCGATCGGGGAATTTTTAAGATAATATGTGAACTATGGGCAGATTATTCCTAAATTGGAAATTTTTAAACCACACTCTCCCTGAGTTTCCATATCTCAGCACATTCCAGAGCCTCGTTATGAAGAGACCGTACCATCTGCTCTCTGCACATCTGCTGAGAGTGAAGGCAGCCTCAGCACAAGCGGGCTCTTATCTTGAAACCAGCCCATGGCCTGAAATGCTGTCCTCCTGCCCCTGACATCCCACCCCCACCAGCAGGGGGCCATGGAGCTCCCCAAAGCGCCCAGACAGGAGGTCCCAGCTGCAGGGATTTCATAGACCAGTAGGTTTTGTTTTAAATAAGGGAAGGGGACCAGGTTTTTAGTTTACTAAATATTAATTTTTAAGAAAAAATATGCCAGCATCCACCCATAGGTCACAAGTCGGTGATTCAGCTTAAAACTGTGTTTTGTCTGTGTTTCAGTCCTTTCTATGCATGAGCCATTAGGCCAACATGTAAAAACAGAGAAGTATCACATTAAAACTCCGGATTTCAGGTGCTGGCTGGTATGGCTCAGTTGGTTGAGCATCATCCCATGCACTGAGAGGTCATGGTTGGATTCCTGGTCAGTGCATATGCCCAGGTTGCAGGCTCGATCCCCAGTAGGGTTCATGCACGAGGTAGCCGATTGATGTTTCTCTCTCCCTTTCCCTTCCTCTCTCTCTAAAACATCAATGAAACATATTTAAATTTTTTTTTTAAGTAGTCCAGATTTCCAGATGATTTAGGGGCAGTGGACTCACATTCCTACGTGACAAGACCATCTGATCTGGGCTTAGTTGCCCCCCTAGGGGGAGTACACCTCCCAGGTTACTGCTGTTCCCGCCCACACTATGATCTATATGTCTTGTAGGGGTTCAGATTCCATAAGTTAGAATTCCAGCTTTACCTAGCGTCAGCTATGAGACCTTGGGCTTGTTACTTAACCCGTCTGCGCTTCAATTTTTATCTGTAAAATGGAGATAATTATAGTGTCTATTGTTAGGTTAATTTGGGACTAAATGAATAAATACAAGTAAAGTTTTTAGATCAGTGTCTGAGATACTAGTAGAGAGAGCAATTAATAAACTATGTAAATTATTGTTAAATGTTGCAAGCCACCATCATTTCAGAAAAAAAATTATCTGAACACTAAAAAAGTAGGAAAAACAAAATGCCTTTCAAATAAAATACATTTGGAAGGAAGGGAGGATGAGGGAGGGAGGGGGGAGGGAGGGAAAGAAGAAAGGTAGGAAGGGAAGGAGAGAGGGAGGGAGGGAGGAGGGGAGGAAGGAGGGAAGGAAGGAAAGAAGGAAAATCCTCACGCAACATAATCCTAATTCTTCGCAATTGTCCTGTTTCAGTAAAAACTCACAACTGGCCCCTAGCTGCCTCTCTGCTGCCCTCTTCTGGCTGCCACCTCCATCACAAAATTCAGCTTCAGGTTAAAGGGCTTCTTGTGTGACAGTCTCCCGCAAACTTGGTGCTTACCAAAGCCCCGCTATAGACACTAAACAGTTTTTCCAGGAATTTTTCAGCCTGTAGAGAAGGGACAACTTCTCCCTGAGAAACGGCACACGTCCCTGAGGCTCCTCGGTGCACACAGACGCTGAGTTAGCCACAGGAGGTGGATTTCACTCCGTGGGGGTATGACAGCAACTGCCTGCCGGCTACTCAGGGCACGAGAGAGCAAGGAACAAGCCTCAGGCTTCCACACCACGGCAGTGGACAGGGCAGGGTACACAGGCCTGCTCCTCACATTGGCAGGGCCCATAGTGAGAGCATACAAGGGACCTCGCCTACTGTCTGTCCCCTTCTCTCCCCCCGACTCTCTCCAGTGCTGTGAGTAGAGACCTCATATTCACTTCCGTGAAATGGTTGGCCTGGAGAGGCGATCCACACGAGCCCTGGGTCCCGGATACTGAAAACAGGCTTTAGAATGGGGCACAGCCTCTGATGGGTGTGTCCCTTTGATCTTGCAAACTTCTCACCCCTTGGGATGTCATGGTGGGAAGAGGGCCAGACAGGGCCTCTAAAGTGTAGGCCAGACACCCCCTTGCCCCAGTCTACTGGGGCAGAAGGAGGCAGGGATGGTACTAACGGTGAGGAACACTGATAATTTTAAAGGAGCCACGTTTAACCGTTCTCACATCGCTCTAGAATGGCTAATGGTTTGTGCTCTAGAGCAGCGGTTCTCAACCTTCCTAATGCCGCGACCCTTTAATACAGTTCCTCATGTTGTGGTGACCCCCAACCATAAAATTATTTTCGTTGCTACTTCATAACTGTAATTTTGCTACTGTTGTGAATCGTAATGTAAATATCTGATATGCAGGATGTATTTTCATTGTTACAAATTGAACATAATTAAAGCATAGTGATTAATCACAGAAACAATATGTAATTATATATGTGTTTTCCGATGGTCTTAGGCGACCCCTGTGAAAGGGCCGTTCGACCCCCAAAGGGGTCGCGACCCACAGGTTGAGAACCGCTGCTCTAGAGTCAGTCCAGATTCAAATCTTGTCTCCATCCCTTATTAGCTCTGGGCCTTAACTGAATTGCCTCACCTCTCTGTGCTTCAGTGTTCTCATCTTTAAAACAATGAGCTTCAATACTACCTCCCTCATGGGGTTGTTCTGAGGATTGAATGAGAAAATGCTCTGAAAACCCAGACCCAGAGCCAGCATAGTGGACACCCTCTGGTTCCCCACTTGCTGCCATTGAAAGGGCTGTTTACTGTAAAGGTCTAAGAGCACTCATTTGAAAATGGTCTGTTCTTTTTACTTAATGAAGTGTTGTGGGTTCCTGGACTTTTCATTCTACTGAATCACAGCCTTGCACAGTATGGGAGCCGAGGATCTGTTTTGCACAAACTTCTGGAGTAACTGCTATGCGCACTCCATGTTGCCAGCTATCATTGTTGTTTTCATGCCCAGAGCATTTCGGTATCCATCCAGAGCAGCAGTACTCACCCTGATTCCTCTGAGTCCCAGCCAGCCCCAGCTGTTCTGAAGTAGTCACAGAGGTTGGCCATGGAATAACGGATGAGATCATTCAACCACCTCCTTTATGGACCAGCGAGGTTGGTGACTACAGCACTTTTTCTGCCTCTTTCCTCCCAGCCCAGGGAAAGGGGTAATTGTTTTGTCCTTGGTTTAGTCAAGCACAGATTCTAATGGCTCTGGCCAGGATGCCCCAAACTTGGGCCCCTTCCCCACCCCACCCTCAAGAGCAGGTCCCTGGGGGCTCTAGAGATAGGACGTGCCCCTGCCTGGGCACTGTGGAGGACAGTGGGACAGCAGCCAGAAGATCCCTGCTTCCCATCTGGAAAACCACTTCTGCACTTATGTACAGACTAGAAATGGCCACAAAAATGTTCCATGCTCTCAGCAAGCCTGTTTTTTTCGGGGGTGGAGATTACTGGTTGCAAATGAACTCTTTCCTCTTCTCAAATTGCTGTTGGGTTGGTACATTTCTGTGTGTGCCACAAGCCAGTCTGTCATCCACCACAGAGCTGCCGCTCACTGCTCCCAGAGGGTGACGGGAGCCCAGAGCCCCTGGCTGCCTCGCCCAGGGACCCAGGGCAGGCCTGCTGCTCCCTGGACCTCAGTCTCCTTCCCTCAACCCAGGAAAATAAGCCACGTGGCTGAGGCAGTCAGACCTGCCATGGGCTCCTGCCTCTGTCCCTCCCTAGCTGGTCGGCCCTCCCCAACCTGCTGCCCAGTGTGTCCCAGGCAGTGAAACAGGCCCTCAGTTCCAGTGCCTGCCTTTGTAAATTGAGAGCAGTCATCATCATAATGCTACTCCCTAAATTACAGTGCTGTTAGGCTTACTGTGGTAATTAAGCGAGATAACAAGCAAATTTCTCACCCCTTGGGGTGTCATAGCATTGGGTGTGTGATGTTGTGATATAATCAGAAATATATATTTGGCCTTCTTCCTGGTTCCTGGCACAGAGCTCCAAGAACGCTTGGAATTTCCCGGGTGATGAGGGAGCATCTTTTGTTATTCATAGTCAGCCCCTTTCAGCCACACCTGAGTTTATGCCAATGAAGTGACTCCAAGGGACCCTCCACAGCTTCAGATTATACACAAAACCTTTGCCCTGTTTAGCTCTGCACAATAGGATTGTGGGCGATTTACTTATTTTTTAAAATTTTTGTTTAATCATATACTTTCTACATTTTTTTAAGTAATAAGGTGGAAAGTTATTATAAACATTGAGATAATTGTGTAAAACACAGCACAGTTCCAGGCCCATTTTAGGGGCTTCCTTGATTTTTTTCCCTTCCTCAAAGTTACAATGCAAAGGCTTGATGGAGCTCGTCTATCAGCTGTCATAAGGTTCCTGAAGGAGGATAGCTAACATCTATAATGATAAAAGGGTAATATGCTAATTAGACTGGACATCCTTCCTGACCAAGCTGGGGCCAGAGGGAAGCCAGTGCCGGCAGCCGAGGGAAGGAAGGCCTACCCTTGCATGAATTTTCATGCACTGGGCCTCTAGTTCTGAAATAAAAGGTTGTGGGCTGGGCACTGCCTTCTCTTCCAATGCTCCCCACAGGGCCCAGCTCTAGCCCTCGCTTCCCCGGCCTTCCCACTTCAGAATGTGTGCCTCCCGCTCTCTCCCTGCTGCTTCCTGCCCCCATTCCACCTACCTCCCAGGCCAGTGCAAGTCACACTTCCCCTGGGAAGCCTTTCTTGACTGCCTTCTCTGGATCCCCCAAGCCACTCATGTCCCCCGTTGACCACTTGGTCCTTCTGCTCTGCATTCTAGTCGTCTGCACCACCTGCCGATGAGCCCGAAACATCTCCACCTGCCTGTGCACCCAGCATCTGGCTCACGGGAGAGCACTGAGAAGCTGCCCGGGCCTGTGTGCTGACCTGGATGGAATGTGTTCATGGCTGGCGTGACCCCGAAGCTCAGCTCTGACTCTTCATCCTATTAGTGGGGTTCAAATTCTAGCAGTGCTGCCTGCTCGCTGCATGGGATTGGACAGGTCACTCCATCTTTCTAAGCCTCAGTTTCCCTCTCTATAATTACAACTCCATCCCTTAGGCTTGAAATTCATACCCAATTGCGTGATAAATATGTTAAATTAGATAGCAAATATAAAGCACTTAACACAGTGCCTGGCAAACAGTAAACGTTCAATAAAAGGTAGCAGCATACACATTTCATTCCTAGAGTGACTATGTATTTCATCATCTAAAGCAGAAATAAAAGGAGAGCTATTGATAATTTTGCCAGGATGACAGGCACACACCAGCGTGGAACCAGGCAAACGCGGATGATGGTCACCCTGCTTATCCCCACTGCGGGGAAGCACGGGGCTTGGTTGGAAAGTCTGTAAGGAGAATTCTCCAAAAGGTGGGGGCCTCTGGGGGACCTTGCCGAAGGCGGCAGCCCCTACCTTGACTTTTCCAAACAAGTCCGATCCCCCGGGTGTTTTGCTGGAATCTCTGTGTTTAGTCTTTAAAGACCTGACCTTGTAGTGGCATGTGCTTTCTCAAGGATACTTACCCTGCTGACTGTACCCAAAGTTTAATTTGAGTTCAAGCTGTTGTGACAATAAAAGTCTAAGGAGGCAGGCGATCACGGCTATTTGCTCCTAAAGTAAACTAGCCCCTTAGCCTCTCTTTCACAGAAACGTATGTCAGAGTAACCTGTTCATCCGCCGCTCAGGGTCTGCTGCTCAGCCCCGGCACCCCACCAGGCACCAGGAGCTCCCGAGTGCAGGGACCAGGGCACTGTTCTCCTGGAATCTGCCCCCCTCAACCTGCCTCCTGCCTCCCTCAGCCCCGCACCACCCTGGACATCAGGGGCTTCAGAAGTCCCTCAGGGGCTTCTCCTCCCAGGGCAGGGGTGGGGACACTTCAGCCTGCCTGGAGTTGGGGACATGCTGTGAAGCCTGGAAGGAGTGGCCAGCTCCCCTCCTGCCCCCCAGCCAGGACTCCATGTTCCTCCTCCCATGTTCCCACAGACCCAGGAGCCCTAGAGTGACTCCAGGAGACCTACCGTGAGGGGCTGGGCAGGGGGACCTGCTGCCCTAGCTCTTCCTTGGGAGCAGAAGGGTGTCCGGTGTGGTCTGTGGTCTGTGGTCAGTGTGGATCCAGCAGCCCAGAGCTGATCAAAGTTCCAGGAAGTGGTTCCTCCCCTCACGTGGCTTGAGTGTTCCCGGAATGTCACCCAGGTCACAGGAAGCAGAGAATCTGGGGCAATGCCTCAGAATATTACAAAATGATCCTGACCTGCTCCCACAGACAGATCCCCCGTGGGGCCGAAGCCATCTAAGGTCACAGACTTGGCACCTTTGGGACCCCAGGGCATTCAGGAGGCGGCTCCAGGAGTGAGAAGTGGGACCAGGGTCCATGCTCTCACACCGTTCCTTGCAAAAGGCCACCCTGGTTCCAGGAGCCAGGCCTCAGCCAGAGGGCCAGCCACAGGCACCTGCTTGGCTCTCAACACCAGGTTCAATTCTAAGAAGGTTGTGGGTTTATTGTTTTGTTTGTTTGTTTAAAAAAACAACTTTGTAAACCCTTTCTGAGCTACAAGGGGGAAAGACTTGAGGAGGTAAATTTTGGCCCAATATGGAGAGACACGTTTTCACCCCATGCAGGGGGGCCAGTTGCTTTGGGAGATTGTGATTGTCCTGTCTCTGGAGCTGCTCATCCAGGGGCTGCAGAACGAGAGAAGAACATGTGCATGCTTGTGCGCATGCGCGCATGTGTGTGTGTGTGTGTGTGTGTGTGTGTGTGTGTGTGTGTGGGTGTGTGTGTGTGTGTGTGTGTTTTCAGGGTGAAGGTCCGACTGAGATAAGCAATCTAGGATCATTTTCAATGCCCAGATTCTAGCATTCAAAGTACTCTGCTGGCTTTTGTTATTTTTTTCTTCCCTATGCCCTCTTCCATCTCCACCCCCTACTCTGATGGCTTTTAAAGTTATCACATGATATCAATATTTATTCTTTTTCAAGTCCAAACTAAGGGTGTTTTTTGCATGTGAGCAGATTTCATCAGCCAAATTGCAAAGGCCTGACAGCGTGTAGCATTTTTCAATAGGGACATATGACAATCTGCACTTTGGCAGGAAACATGGGGGCATGTAAGAGGGGAGAAAGGCTGTGAACGGAGTGCTCCCAGCCCCACCCTCGGCAGCAGCCAGGCTGGGTGGGGCAGGCTGGCAGGGTGGGGAGGTGGGCATACCTCTGGAGAAAACTCACACCCAGGCTAAGGGGACAGGTTCTTAAGGCAGCGACACTGGCCTCCACAAAGAGAATGTGTCTGTCAGTGTCATGGTGAGCAACAGAAATTTGGCATTCCACAGATCTGGGTTTGAACCTTGCTTCTTCAATAAACTACCCAGTCTTTCCACAAGTTATTTAGTCTTTTCATTTTCATCTGTGGCAAAGGGCCTGGGGAGGCGTGTGTGTGTGTGTGTGTGTGTGTGTACACACGTGTCAAATTACACTGCAGATATGTGCAGCTGGAAGGACATGTGTGCGTGTATGGAGGTAAGATTTGCATTAAGAACTCCAGGAATCTTCTATGAGGTGGGATAAAGGCTCTAACTCCTTTTCCCATTATTCCAGACACCTGTCTGAGTGGACAGGTGCAGTGGTTAGGGAAGGACAACAAGGCCCTGCCTCCAGTCATCAAAACAGTCCAGCCCTAGCTGGTTTGGCTCAGTGGATAGAGCATTGGCCTATGGACTGAAGGGTTGCAGGCTCGATCCCCAGTGGGAGGAGTGCAGGAGGCAGCCGATCAATGATTCTCTCTCATCATTGATGTTTCTATCTCTCTCTCCCTCTCCCTTCCTCTCTGAAATCAATTCAACAACAACAACAAAAACGGTCCAGCCCCGTGATATAGTGAACACACTATTGACCCCTGTCCAGGTCCAGCCTCCTGGGACAGGCTCACATCTGAAGAAGGGACCTAAGAACTAAGAGATTCCAGGAAAATAGGTTTTGAAGCCTCTTTCCTAGGCATGGAGATGGGACACAGGAACAGCAAAGGGGACTGGCTCCCTCTTAAGAAGTGGACCTGTGCCAACAGCTGTGGCAGCCCCTGGAACCCGGAGACCTGAAATAGTCTTGGGGACATGTGGTAGGAGTTGCCTTCACTCAGATGGTGTCTTTTGAGCGCCTGTGACTCACTAAGCCTGGTGTAAAGCACCAATAGGAGTCCAGAGATGCAGGGTAGTCCCACCTACCTAAGTCCATGTGCATGTGCGTACATGTGTGTGCACGGGCACATTAAACGAGTACTGAGTGAACTTCAGTGCCCTTCTGGTGACATAGAAGCAACTCCAGCCTGGGAGTCTGGAGGTCTGCTTGTGTGCAAGCTCAGCCACTAGTTCACTTCCTGCCTTGATCATACTCTCTTCCTCTGTAACATGGGCTGATCCTATTGTTAAGGCCCCTTCCCAACACAGTGGCCTATAGATATGATTTGTTATTACATTTTTGGTCCCCACTCACTTTCCGAGGACCTTTCCCAGCCCAGAATCTACTCTTTGTGAGGGGCTGTCTGGGTCAGCTTTGCACACATATGACAAGAGTGGGATCACCAGGCTCGGGGGAGGTGGGGCAGGCAGAGTAAGTGGATGCTGTATGGACGTGCTCCCAGGAACAAACTGGAATTACAACTAAAATACAGAAAAACTTCCTGAATCATGAATGGAAAACTCACAGGAGAGAACCCTGACACCTAAAAGTGGAGACCGCTTAGAGACTGATCTATTTTGTATATTGTAAAAAAAAAAAAAAAAAAAAAATCAAATTAAAAAAAGAAGAAAAAATTTTGTAAAAGAGTGGGACTCCATAGCCAAGACACCATAAAGAGCACATGTACAATGGGAGATAAAGACACATTTGTAATACTTTAATCAATAAAAATTTTTATAAAGAGCACACGTGTCCTGTGTAAGCCATTTATTGTTGATTCTGTACACCAAATTTGTTACAAGCAGTATTCAGCAAAGACAGAGCCCAGCAAAGATGGACCCCCAACCCTGCCCACCAGGGCTCACACTGTATAAAACCCCAGGGGCCTAGAAATCTCTAAATGCATCACCAAACTCCTGGGACTATTTGCAATTATTCTCTAAGCAAGGCAAACACGGTCTACTTTTGAAGGCAGCATGAAGGCAATGGGTTGGTGAGAACGATGCATCCTTAGGTGAAGGAGAAAGCACAGACTGGGAGGAGCTTGGCCTGGAGGACACCCACCCGCCCGCTCTGTGATGGCTTCCTCCCCAAGACCACCACCGCCTTCCCAACAACCAGGACTCAGTTCTGACTGTGGGATCCGTGGGCTGAATTCTTTGAGAGGTTAGCAGCTAAAGGCTGGGATGCATCTACTCTCTGCCTACCTACTCTAGTTATCTAGTTATCTCTAGCTGTCCGCTCCCCATCAGCTTCCTGAGTTTAGAACTAGATTCCTGTAACTGCTCTACACTGACATCTAGAAGGTTGTGGAAACTGTCGCCCATTAAGAGTTCTGAGAACTGTGTTGTGCCTTTGAATTCTAAAGAAGGGAACAAGATACACACAGCCCAACAATTTCCATGAGAGGGGCCAATTTTTCTTTGACGGATGGATGAGTTTAATTTTCCCCTGCATTTACCAAGTTTTTGATCCGCACAGTGCCAAGTGAGGTTTCCGTGGCTAAGACTCTGGGGAACAACAGGAGACTGACTCCCATTTTCTTTGGTTCAATGATGAAAGCCCAGTACAGGCCACAAGGTCTTGTACAAAGTTTGAAGAGAGAAGGAAAATGTTGCAGAAAAAGGGCAGTTTAAGACCCCATCACAGGGGATAAGGTAGCACTCATGCACGGGGGTATTGTGAGGATTAAAAAGAAAATGACTGTTAAGTGCTTTCAAGGGTAGCTATGCACAGTAAGCACTTTTGGAAAACAGTGGTTCTCACTGGCTTTTATTATTTTTCCTCCAACATTGACCCTCTGCTCCAAATGCAGTCTACTGGTACCAGCAAGGTGTCCGAGAAGCTCATGAGCAGAGGGGGGGAAGTGAAGTGAACTCTGTACCCTCTCTCTATTCTAGGGGTGCCAAGTGGCTCACTCCAGCCCTGAGAAGTGAGCAAATGCGTCGTCCTGTTGGAAAGGAAACTACTCAGCTTTTCTGGCAGCTCCCAGACCAGACAACATGGCTCAGAGGCCAAAAGACCTGCCAAAGAACAGGAGGCTGGATGGCTCCATCCAATCCACTCTGATGGGAGAAAGGAACAGGCAAACTCGGAAGGTCAGGTAAAGGGTCTACCACCCCCCACCTGGAGTGCTCCTGGGTGGGGTCATCTGAGCACAGCCGCCCTCAGGCCAGCCTTTGGCCTGGGAACACATGTTGGTATCGTGGGCCAGAGAGGGAGGTACTCCAATGTCACAGCCAATGCTGGAAGCACCCAGGGTTCTGGGATCAGAGTGGCAGGACACACTGGATGAAGAGGAATCCTTCCTCACCGCTCTGCCACCTCTGGCCCAGTAGCGCTTTTGCTCAAGGAGACAGTAGAGGTGGCTCATAGGGAGGAACTTGAGGAATGCAGTGCCAAACCATGCTTCCTGCTTGAAGCAGAGCAGGCTGAGCTTCCCTCTTTGGCCCCCGGATACAGACTACCATTGGTGGAATGATGGTCATGCCCCAAGCTCTGAGCTCACTTACTGTCAGGCCCCAGCAAGCCTTGGTACACATCAACCAGTTGCTACAAATATTTTGAAAACTTTTTGGAAACTTAGATTTACCTTGGGGAGATGATGTCTTTTGCCTCTGACAGGCCCTATCACTCACAGATTCCCTGGAACAGAGAGTAAGAAGCTACCAAGAGCGCTAGTTCTTAGGCGCATCCCTTCCTCGACCCTTTTTTGGGGGGAACCTGTCAGCATCATTCTGCTGAAGCCCCAAGAGATTTCTTTACTTGTCTTATGGAGCAGAGGGAACCTGTAAGAGGCAATCAGGATTGATGGAAGATTTCCAAATCTTTATAGTGTTGGCTATAGCTCTTTCCTGAGCAAACATGGACACTTGAAATTCTCCATTTAGAACTTTTACTTCTAAACTGGTAGACCAGTTGTCCAGAGAAAGATGTCCATTGCTATAAGCATAATTTATTTACCAGAGTGAATATGTATGTAGCAGGAAGGGTGGCAAGGGCAGGTATTCATATGATTATAACTCAAGGGGGAGAATAACCTTGGACCAAATAACACTTATAACCAGACCACGGGTCAGAGTGGCTCCAGAGAGGCCCCAGGCCCAGTGTGACTTATCAGTGTATCCTGGTGTTTCCTGCTCTGTATAAGAATTCTGACATTCTGTTTCTAGCTGACTGTAATGCTGATGGAGAATTTCACCACCACATTCCAGGGATTGCTGGGTTCCATTACACTTGGATGTTCAATTAAAGGATCTCATCTCTGAGGTATTTCACTTCCTCCAAATGGAGAGTGAAAATTAAAAACAGACATAGGTATATAGGTGTATCATGCCCATGAAAAGGTCCAGGCAGAAGGGCCTCCAATGAACAGCAAGCAGACATCTTGTTGGTGGAGAAGGATGCGTGGTTGTGTGGGCCTCTATAGCTGAGTTGCTTCTGGCCTGGACAATCTGGGAGCCTCAGGATCTGAGAATTTAATAAAATCTTCTGTCCAGGCAAGCATATACCCACATCTTCTCCACTCTGGCAGCTGGGCCTTCACAAGGGCTGACTGAGGGGGAGGGAGAAGCAGAGGGACCATCCTGGCGCAGGGGGAGCCAGTTCCCGGGCAAGTCCATGCTGTCTCCATAAACCCGTCTTCTTCAGTAAACGACTGCGATAGAGGATACTGGTGATATCCTGTTTGCTGATCAGGACACTGTTACAGGGCGTGTACAGTTTGTGAAAATCCATCAAGCCATACACGTTTGTGCTCGGCATGCATGTTTCCCTTCAATAAACAGTTAAAAGAGACAAACCCTAGGGGTAGACACAAGAACCCCCAGGTACCAGGCTGCTTTCTCCATCCGGTACCAATAAGCTGATTTTAGCATTGTTACAGGTCAGAAATTCTACATGATTTTATTTCTTAAAGACTGAAAAATGTAAAGCTAAGTTTGCAGCTTGGAAATACCATCCTCTAAAAGGCTGAACTGGTTTCACTTCCTTTTCCAGATAAAAATCATGGGGGATCCTGATGATGGCTCTGTCTCTAGGGACTGAGCAGCATCATGTTCTCCTCTCTCTTTCACAGCATCCTGAGAACCAGGGTGCGTGGCAGTTCTGAAGAAACCAGTTAAATGGGTTGAAGCCTTCCTTGAGGACAGAGCTCACCTTGCCTTCAGGTGCAGAAAATCAAAGGAGAACTTCATCTGAAGTGACGGGGGGAGCCATGCCACAAACAATAAAAGGAGCAAAAAAAGAAAATCAACTTACAGAATACTCGGGAGAGAGGCTGTCCCGGTGGAGAACTATTTCCATAAAGTGAACAGGCATGGAATAAGTGTGTCTACAGAGGCCAGCAGGGGCATGGGCACAGGGAAGGTTGTTCCCAAAGGAGAGCTGGTGAGGCTTTGGAGGTTGTTGAAAGAAGCCCAGGAATGTGAATTGGAAACCCTGCAGGGTCAGATCTCTCTGGTGGTAAGAAGGTCCTGCAAGAGCAGGTCAGGAAAAGGTGAGGGTGCCTTCCTCTCAGGGACCAGAGAGAGGGAGCAGGGGATGGCTCTGTGGACCCAGGGGTGAAGGTCGAAGGATGAAATTCCCAGATGCTCCAGTGGTCCCACCATTCCCCAGCCCTGCCTCCAGTCTGCCTCTTTAACACTCATTGGGTGACTTCATCTGCATCAGGACTGCGTGGCTCCTCTTCTTACAGCAGCAACAGCAGATGCAGGCAGCGATGGAGGAGGCCAGGGCAATGATGCCAATGACAATGGCAGCAATGGCCAGCCCGCTCTGGGCCCGGGTCATGCCCCACGTGCTGCGGTCATCAGTGACCTGGATGGTGGTCAGATCGGTGTAGTCCTCCACGGAGCTGGTGGACTCAGTGACGGAGGAGATGGAAGTGGTTTCAGGATAGCTGGAAGTTTCTGGGTACTTTGGCGTTTCTGGGTAGCTGGTCACCTCAGGGGTCACTGGGGCTTGGGCACTGGGAACAGCAATGTTGACGTTGATGATGATGAGGGACTGGCCCCGGACACTGGCCGGGCTAAAACACACCGGGAGGGTGTCTGTCCCCAACCTGGGCTTGTTGAGCAGGAGCCAATTGTGGAGAGGAAGGATGCCTGAGTCACACCTCCAGGGGTTGTCATAGAGTCGAAGTTCACATAGGTTCCCCAGGTGATCGAAGATACCCACTGGCAGGTTCTCTAGCTGGTTGTTTTGCAGCTGGATGTTCATAAGGCCGTTGACATTGGCGAAGATATTCCCTGGGAGCTGTCTGAGGCGGTTGTTCTGCAGGGAAATGTTCTGCAGGTTGGTCAACATGCGGAAGACGTTCCCGTCCAGCTCCTGCAGCGCATTGGTGTGGAGGGACAGCTCCCGCAGCTCTCCCAGCCCGTTGAAGGCGCCGGGAGAGATGTAGCCGATCTGGTTGCGGCTGAGGACCAGGACCTGCAACTGGCGGAGGTTGTTGAAGATGTTGTCAGGTAGGGAAGTGAGGTGGTTGTCGTAGAGCCAAAGCTCTCGAAGGTTGTGCATGGGCCCAAAGACCCCTGGAGAGAGCTCCTTCAGGGAATTCCCAAAGAGCGTGAGTCGGTTGAGCTGGGGCAGCTGCATGAAGATGCCGGGGGGCAGCTCGGAGATGTGGTTGTTGGACAGATAGATCTTCTGGAGGTTACGATTGTTGTTGAAGAGGCCGGGGGAGAGCACTCCGATCTGGTTTTGCTGCAGGGATAGCTCTTGGAGGTTGCTCAGCCCATCAAAAGTGCCCATGGGGATGTCTGAGAGCCTGTTCTCACACAGCCGGAGGACTTGGAGGTTGCCCAGGCGCTGGAAGATCCTGGGCGAGAGGTAGGTGAGGCTGTTCTTGCACAGATTGAGCTTGTTGAGGGCCACCAAGTGGTCAAAAACGCCATCAGGGATGTATTCCAAGTAGTTGCCATGCAACTGCAGCTCCTTGAGGTTGCTGAACTGGGAGAAGTGTGCCGGCTGGATCTGCACCAGCTGGTTGCTGGACAGAAGGAGCGATTCAAGGCTGTCCAGGCCCTGGAAGAGGTCGATAGGCAGAACCTGAAGCTTGTTGTTGGCGAGGCTGAGGTAACGCAGCGAGCCCAGGTTGCGGAAGGCACCGGGCATGATTTGGGATAGCTCATTCTTCTCAATCCTCAGGGCGATGAGGGCCGAGATATTGAGGAATGGGGACTCGTTGAGTTCGGTGATGTGCGTGTTGAGGATCTGCAGGCTCATGGCGTTCCAGGGCAGAGGAGTGGGCACTGCCACAATGCGCGCCCCGCTGCACTCCACCTGGGAGGCCCTGGAGCAGGTACATTCACTAGGGCAGCCATAGTAGGCCAACCCGGCACCCCAGACTTGGCAGCCCACCAACAAAAGGAGATAGTGTTTCAGTGGCATGGCCTGTGCAAGGGGAGAGAACACATGAGTCAGGATCATCTCGCCAACACTCCCACTGTTTTTAAGCCAAGGCCAATCTTTGGTACCAAAAACTAGCTTGCCTTTGAACCCCGTCACCACATACTCAACTTATGCCCTATGGCCTGGTCAGCAAACCTCTTTGCCTTCCCCCATGCCTTCCTACTTCCATGGCTTTGCCCAAGCAATTCCCCCCACCAAGGGTGCTCTGCATCCTCATCCAAGTATTTACCATACTTCCAAGTCTGGCTCAATAGCAGTCCCCTCTAGGAAGCTTTCCCACAATCCATGAGTCAGCATTAGCTACTCTCCCATGCAGGTGGTCTTCCTGACCTCCATTATGGCCCACACCACAGCCAGCTCTACATGACATTTGTCCCTTTCTGCCTCCTTCACCAGTCAATAAGCGTTTCATGTTTCATCTCTATGGGTCCCTTAAAGCAGGAACAGCATTTTATACATCTCTGCATCCCTTACAGTACATGAGCTTACTATTTATTTGAACATAGCTTGAAGTTCAGTGCAAAGAAATGGGACCCAATTAAGCTATGGGACGTCTGTAAAGATGAACGTCCATAGTCAAATGTCAGGTCCAGACTTGAGAACAGAAATAAACAACCTAAACAGGGGGCAGGGAAAAAGTGACTCAACACTTTTAATAAGAACAAATAAATAGGGCCTGAACCCGGGAAAGATGTTAAGGCCACAAACATGGTGGCCTGCCGGAAGGAGCCATAGCAGCCAGCAGAGGCAGGACCGTGCTGTTGATCTGGTGGAAACGACCATTGGAAGCTTGTTTTTTCCACTGCCTGGGCCTCACTCCAGCTCCTCCCCACCCCGCCCATCACCACTACCAACAGCCTGTCTCTTTGTTAATCTTTGTTAACATGTCTCACAGGTGCTTTATCTAGGTTTATTTCAATCAACTTCCCAATAAAGAAAACTATCTGCACCACTTCCTGTCTCACTGGAAGAGGCTGCTGCCACTCAGCTGATGCCTGGGCTCTCCCTTCTGGGGACTAGTCCACAAAGAAACACTGAGAAGCCTAGAGCAGTGATGGCGAACCTTTTGAGCTCGGTGTGTCAGCATTTTGAAAAACCCTAACTTAACTCTGGTGCCGTGTCACATATAGAAATCTTTTGATATTTGCAACCATAGTAAAACAAAGAGGTATTTTTGATATCTATTTTATATATTTAAATGCCATTTAACAAAGAAAAATCAACCAAAAAAATGAGTTCGCATGTCACCTCTGACACGCGTGTCATAGGTTCGCCATCACTGGCCTAGAGTAAGTCCCAGAAAACTTAGGATGCACTTTGAGCTCAAAGGTGGTAGGTCCAGATGCAGCCATAGGCATGATGTGATCTTGGAATGGAGCTAAATTCACAAAGGTTTGGTGTTTGAGGTCAAGGGTGATGATAATTTTATATATATACATTATGTATAGAACATGGAGACAGGGGACATGAAGACTGGCCCTGGCCTTGAATATCTATGTATCACTAGCCAGCTGTTAGACCTTGAATGAAGTGTGAGGCCTCCTAGCTCAGCTTTGTCATCTGTTAAATGGTGGTGGTAATCTCTGCCCCCTCTTAAGGCTGTGGTGAGAAACAAATGGGAGAATGGATGTGAGGGTGTCCTGTGCAAATGTGTGTGGTTGTTCCAAGCTCATCCACAGATGAACTTTATAGACAGGAAGGCCTCCAAGTGCTTCTAACCTTGGCATTTTTAGTAAAGGGACTAAGGATTTCTGTGAGCATCTGTACCTTCTATCTGTACCTTCCATCTGAGGTCCAAAGGGATCTCTAACTCGCAAAGGGTTAAGAACTGCTGATCAGACATTCTCATTTTTTTGTGGGGAATGTAGGAAGCAGGGAAACTGAGGCCCAGAGCTAAAATCCCAGAGCTCGACTCCTGAGTGAGTACTTTGAGTGTTAAGGCAGTGCCTCTCCTTTTAATGAGCAAAAACCCTGAGTCAGAGGAAGGAATTTCAGATGAAAGTATATAAGGCATAAACTGGCTGGGTGGAGAAAGCATTTCTATGGTCTGTGTTCCGCTGAACTCATGGTGTCTTGAGTCTGGCCCATTACTCAGAGTAATCCAGGCTTCCCAATCTGGCCTCACCTCAATGTACCCTCCCCTGCCCGCACCAAGCTTACTCTGAGGACAAAACCCAAGTTCATCTCTCACCCACCCAAACCTTGATTTTTCATTTATTCACAGCCCATCCAAGCCCTGGCCTGCTGTACTGTTGCATTAAGGGCTTGACCTAGTATGTAGACTAGTGAAGAAAAGAAAGAATGATAATTTGGCCAATGAATTCCAGTGCAAAGAAATGGGGCCAGATTAAGCTATGGATACATCTATAAAAATGAACTTCCATAGTTCAATGTCAGGTGCAGACTTGAAAACAGAAAATAAACAGCCTAAACAGGCTGCCTCCCATGGGCAGGGAAAAAGTGACTCGACACCCACCCCAGGAGAAAGACTTATTGATGGTAACAAAGAATGAAGACTGCCCACAAAAGATAACATCACTGTATTAAAAGAAGTATTAAGTGTAGAAAAAAGGAGGTTATGGTCTTACTCTACACTTCCCTGATCAGGCCACATCTGTAGTGCTGTGCTCAGTTCCACCCTGAAGTTTAAGACAGGCAAGGACAAACTAGTCTCTTGAAGGCCTTCGATGGTAAAGGGACACGGAAACCAAACATCCTCTTGGAGTCACTTACACAAGGTGAAGCTCTAATGGCTGCTGATGACATGCTAGGCAGCACTTATTTATACTGTGCACTCCTATACCCTATGTGCTTCAAAATGGTGTCACAGCTCAAGTGTCAGAGGCTTGGGCACTAAATTAAATGCCCATAATTTGGCAAGCCCTGGACAGTCTGTGGAGTTTCCCATCTGTCAATGAGGGTGTGGATGAGACACCTCTGAGGACCCATCTGAGTCTGCATTGCCCATCTGGGGGTGGGGGGGTGGGGGAGTGGGGGGGCATCAGCCAGCCCCAGGAAGGGCCAGGGCCAAGGCAGGGTGCCTCCTGGCTTGGGAGAAGGAGGGAAAGATAACTCCTTTGTGGGAACAGAGCCGCTGTTGCTGGAAATGGACCACACTCAGCTTGACAAATATTACAAGAATTTGCACATTTTCCTTTTTATAAATCCTCATGGATGCAGAGCCCACCCCGGCACCACATGCAGCGGTTTCCTGTTTTCCAGCACTTCTCCTGCCACAGCTGGAACTGACTGCTCCAAAGGACCTCCAAAGAGCCCACCTCACACCCAGCTGCAGAGCCCTTGGGGGAGGGAGAGGCTGCAGACACGGGGCTGGAGAGCCAGCTGGGCCCTGGGATTTTCAGCAAGTGTTGCAGGCAGCCAGAGGCTTCTGGGAGCCCAGCACACAGCAGCCTAATAGCCCACGCCGTCTGGTGCTGCTTGGCAGCCGTGACAAATGCCAGTTAAAGACCCACAAAGCTCCCTAATTACACCCTGCTCTCCCAGGAGGCAGGCTGCATCCACAGTCACGGCAGCCACTCGGCCCAGGCCCTGTTCTGGGAGGGCGCACAGCCTGGCGTCTGGCACTGGTGCAGGAATTCCATGAGCTGAGCAGACAGCTCACCTGGACACTGAGGCGCGGTCCCTGCCCAGGAGGAGACGCGCTTGGAGCAGGCGCACTGCCCGTGGGTCTCTTCAGCAAGAACAGCCTGTGATTCATGAACAAACACATAATTAGCCTCCAAGCCCTGGGCTCGGTTGGCTGGTGGGTTGGGACTTTGGGGGTTTAATACTATCATTCACATTCTCTAAATACGAGGTTCCCTGGGAGGAATGGCTTCTTCTATCAATGCCACGGAGCAAAGCTTTCGGAAAGAGCCTGGGAGAAAAATGTGCCATTCTGGTCTTGAGACTGAGCTTGAGTGGGAGTTTAAGCAAATTCTCCAGGCCTCAGTTTCCCCTCCTGTAAAGATTTCCAAGGGCCCTGGCAGCTCTGGTATCTTCTCACTGGAGACAGAAGAGACATTTGACCCAAAGCCCCACCATTCTCTTCATCCTCTCTTCCTCAGACGTCACACCGAACTGCCAGCAGCGCCACCTACCCAGCCCCATCTCCATGCTGAGGCTTTCAGAACTTGGCCCATCTTCCGGGCCCACTTATGTCAGGCAGGGTGATCCCGCTTGTTAATCGGTGCATCTTCACACAGCCAATGGCATCCGGAAGCTAAGAGAGGCCTTAGGGAGTCTCTGGTCCTGCCCTCTCCCAATGCACCTGAGGGAACTGAGGCCCAGAGAGGAGATCTCCCTTCCTGGCCTGTGCCCTCTCCCCAGCAAGGTCTCCCCGCATGGCCACTTCGGCTGTGAGCGGTGGCCCCATCCAGCGCACTGAGAAGACAGCTTGGACTCTCTGAGGGTGTCTCCTGCCCTCACCCCGCCAGCTAGTGTCGGCCTCGATCAAGCTGCTCATAGGTGCTCTGTCCTAAGGGTAGAAGGCACTGTCTGACTGGGAGGCTCAGTGCATCCAGACCTCCCCACCTCACTAAACAGGAGTAATGCCCCCTCTCCCAGGTCAGTGCATAAACATCGCCTGGAAGAGCCTGGGGAGCCTGCTTACAGAACTGACCTCACAGTGTTGTAGCTGTGAGGACAAAGTGGGTTAACACCTGTAAAGCCCTGAGATTTGTTCTTGGCACAAAGTGAGTACCCAGTAAATGTTGCTTACAATTATTGTTCATTCTGCTGTGGAGTAAAATGCAGGTCTCTGGAGACTCCACCCACAGAGATCCTGATCCCTAGGTCTGAAGGGCTCAAGCCCTTGCACATTTAACCAATTCCCCAAGTGACTGTAGTGCAGGTGTCCACAGTCCACACTCGGAAGCACCACTCAAGGCCTAGACCAGCTGGGACCCCATGCCCATGATCTGCATCATTTGCAGCCAAGAACAGAGGGATTGACCCGGGATAGGAAAGGCTGACGGCCAAGCCAGGGGCCTGGTCAGCTCCCTGTATCATTCCTTCCTCCAGTGGCCCTTTCTGCATCCCCATCAGAAATCCGGGGTTTGTGCTAAGTTAAACCCAGCAGTAGAAGCTGCTTCCAGAAGCAGAGCTTAGAGCCCAGGCATTAGAGGTATACGGGCCTTTTTGAGACCATCTGGTCAAATCATATGGTCATTTGGTGCATGGGAAACTAAGGGCCCAGAGGGAGGAGGGGACTTGCCCAAGGTCACACAGTCACTTGAAGATTCCTGACACCCAGGTCAGGGCTCTACCCAACCACAGAGATTGAAGAACCTCTGTACCTTGTCACGAGCCTTTAGGACCTGTCAAACATGTGTCTGGCAGTGCTTGGAAGGGGACAAGAGGTGGCCTTGCTCCCTCCATCCTAAAATGACCTCAGGCTTATATGCAATCCACCCTCTAGCTGCCCCGCATTATGAACAGAGGTCAAGTTGCTCTCCGAACTCCCAGGCTATATGGTTTAAGGATGTTCTTCCTTAGAGCTGCTCTGATGCCTGTGTTTGCTCAATTTCACCTGAGTGGCCTGGGACTGGAGGGAAGGAACAGAGGGGTCACCAGAAGAGTTGATCTCAACACAAAGCCCCATTGGAGTGGTACCCAAAATAGGCATGCTCTATCCAAGCACATAGCATCCCAGAACCCAAGGGAAGACTGGCCACACCCTCATCCTCCACCTGGACCAATTGCTGACCTCCATCTCTCACAACCCTTCAAAATCAAAATAGTGTTCACTGCCCTAACCTGTTTGGCTCAGTGGATAGAGCGTCGGTCTGCGGACTGAAAAGTCCCAGGTTCCATTCCCGTCAAGGGCATGTACCTTGGTTGTGGGCACATCCCCAGTAGGAGGTGTGCAGGAGGCAGCTGATTGATGTTTCTCCTCATTGATGTTTCTAACTCACTATCCTTCTCCCTTCCTCTCTGTAAAAAAAAATCAATAAAATACACAAAATAGTGTTCATTTGTTTAAAAAAGAAAATGAGTAAGAAAAAGCAAGTCCTTTCCAGCCCCAAGGTTAGAGGCGTAGGGCTTCCTGCAGAGGCCCAAGTAGGGCTGTAATTAGCTTGGCAAAAGCAGCTGGAGATACTGGCAAACTCGCCAGCGAGCAGGGAGAAGCTCCCACTCGGGGCTTTTATTAACGAAGTCATAGGTTACAGCCCCGTCTCGGGGTAACAGCTGGGGGCTCAAGTTAGAGAGAAATGGACCAGGCCCTCATCAGAGCATCTTGGAAACGATATCTAAATCCTGTGTCCCAGAAGCCAAGGGAGGCGATGAAACCTGAAGCTGCAGCCCATCCTTCGTGGCCAGGGTTTAGTGAAGCAAATTGCCATGTGTAATCACAGCCTCGGAGTGCTGGCTGGCAGGATCGCGTTGGGACAACTTCTCTCCCATCCCTTCTCATTTCTCGACATCTGGATCTACTCCCACCCGCTCCCCACTCCCACCCCCTCCATTTACTGAGCAAGCCCAGGTAGTATCCCCCGGACCTGGGGAGAATCTTCCATGGGTGCCCTGACTTTCTGCAAAGTCTGCTCAGAACCCTTCCCCCTGGCCAGACCTCGCTCACATGCTAATCTCATCAGTGCAGAGCCCGCCCAGCTGACTCAGGACCACAGGCAAATGGGACTGTCTGGCCCTGAATGCATCCCAGATGTTCAGTTGATGCAGAGCAACAGAAATGACAGCCGTTGGAGAATTCTAAATTAGGAGCCAGTGGCACCGAAGCATCATCTGAAAGCTGCCTGAGACAGGCTGCTATACCTCAGAAATCCGAAAGGAGAAGCCGCAGTGTGACAGACAGGCACCCAGCACTTTGGTCTGGGTACTGTGTCATCCCAGAGAGAGGCACAGCCTGCCCTTCGCTGACATACCTGCCCCTGGAGGTAGACTGGCTCTCTCACACTTTGCCACAGCTGGGCTCTGGAAAGTTCCGGTTTTCACCTGTTGGTTCCTTGGCCCCGCCCCTGCCTCTGGAGTTGAGCAGAGATGCTGGTAGAGGTACAGCGTGTTTACCACCCTCATTCCGAATCCCTCCCCAGCCCTGACTCTCCCTGTTCAAAGCCAACAGCCTCTGCCAGGGGCTCACTGGCTGGCAAGAGGGGACAGCTGCCAGGACGGGGTCGCCTAAGCCGCACACAGACTTAGACCCCCGAATGATCCCGAGCCCACAGCTGAAGGTAAGCTGGAAAACCTGCACCAGCACATCTGCTGAAGTCGCTTTTGTAGCAGCTGAGAGTATGAGGAGAGGAGGACTGATGCCGGCCGGGAACCCCCTGAAGCAGGGTCTCAGGGATTCTCTACAGACCCAAATGCGGGGCAGGCCACTCCCGGTAAGTGAGGACCTGGGTTCAATAACCTGAGTCTTAAGAAGAGAAACCCGCCCTAGCTGGTTTGGCTCAGTGGATAGAGCATCGGTCTTCGGACTCAAGGGTCCTGGGTTTGATTCCAGCCCAGGGCACACGCCCTGGCTGCAGGCTGATCCCCAGTAGGGGGCGTGCAGGAGGCAGCTGATGATTCTCATCATTGATGTTTCTATCTCTCTCTCTCCCTCTCCCTTCCTCTCTGAAATTAATAAAAATATATTATAAAAAAAAGAAGAAGAAGAGAAACCCTTCGCCAGTGGAGCTGGTGTCCAAAGGAGGTAACTCTCTGGGTAACTGGTGTGATCATTTGGTCAACTTTCAATGTGTCTACCGCCCTGAACCGTCTTCTCACACCCCGGGTTGACACCATGGGACAGCAAGGGCCAGGGAAGGCTGGTGGCGGATCCGCAGGGAGGGCTGGGGGCCCAGGCGCCCTGGACAAGGGGCGGACGGGCTCCCTCCGGCGCAGGCTCCATTGGGCGGCCTCCTGAGAGCATCCCAGGCGCCACGCCAGCCCGGCCGGCCCCGTCTGGAGCCTTTCCCCAGGGGAGCGGGGTCCGCAGGAAAAGGGAGGGGGTGTGATCCCGCCTACTTACCAGCAGCTTGGCGCCCGCCCGCCCGCCTTCGACCAGAGCGAGCCCGAGAGGAGACGTGGGAGGCTCAAGGCTGCAGCATGAGTGGGGCTCGCCGGCGCTCCCGGTATTTAAACGGTCCCGGTCCCGGCCCGGCGTGAGTCACCGCAGGGGGCAGTGTCTGCGCGGTGGCGGGAGGGGCGGCCGACGTGCAGGGACAGCAGCATCCCCGAGGGAGCCACAGCCTGCGTGCTCAAGGGGACGGGGTTTCCGCTCTTTTTTTTTCTTTTTTAGCCACACATGTTTGTCCTTTCTCTTTTCCTGCAATGTTTCTTTTGGACTCGCTCGCTCATTGGCATTGTGGTTCCAGAAAAGGCACCCATTCTTTCCCTTTCCTTTCCAACCACACACTGAGAGTCATTCCAAACGTACAGAAAACGTGCACGGACAATACAAGGAACACTCTTATTCGCTTAACCCAATTCATCTATGTCTACATTTTGGAAAAATCATTTAATTCCAAAGAAACAGTCAGACCTGTGGGGTCCCTCCTCAAAACAGTGTTTCAATCCCTTCTGTCATCATCCAACGTCCCCTCACTGTCCCCTCCCACACACAGCAGTCAGGGCATATTGGAGATGAGGGGCTCCCTCTGCCCTCAGCTCCGTGTGGGAGCCCGCGCCCAGCCACCCCTGTAAGGGACAAGAAACCGTGTCTACTGTGGTATCACCAGGAGGGTGGGGGAGAGGAGGAGGAAGCCACAGTTGGAGGCGCAGGAGGCTGCCATGCCCTGGCTTCTCCTCCAAGGAGGAGCCTCCAGTGGGTCTGAGCTGCATTTGGCGAAGCCACCTGCCCTCCGGTGGCTCAGTTGACCCTCTCCGCCAAGGGGGGAGAGTGATATTTACACACACTGCCCCATGGAATGCCAAGAGCCTTAATTAATGTTTGCACGGTGCGTTGAGACCTTTGATGAAAGGAAAACATAAAAGTGCATAGTGTTATTACTGAAATAGTCATTTGGGTGGCTTGCCATGGTCAAGTCCTACCGCCTAAATCATGACACATGCCTCCTCACTGTGGCACCGTGATTCAGAGGCAGAAACAAAAAGTGCCCTGTCCCTGAGCCCAAGTGGCACGTGCCCAAGGGGGGCAAGCACTGCTGAAAGGAGGTTTCCACTCAGCTCCCAGCCCACGCGCTCCCACCCAGTCTCCCTTCCAAATAATGTTCCACTTGGAGAACTCCTTCCCTCTTCCTACCCTGGTCCCTCCACATCCCCAAATGGGGGTCTTCGCCTGCATTTCTATAGAACCTGCAAGAATAAGAATGTGCCCTCTTTTTTTTTTTTTTTTAGAATGTGCCCTCTTTACCTTCTTCCCTGTCTTTCGAATCCTAACATTCAGCCACTCTATGCCACACCCTGTGCTGGGAGCTGTGGACAACACAGGGATGAATCAGATACATTTCTTGCCCATAAAGAGCTGACTCTCGGTGGGGAGGGAGGAAGAATTTACATTGATGAACACCTACTGTGAACCGAGAGCTCACTGGTCCCTTATTCCATTTATGCATTACTTCATCAAGTAACAGAAACTACACCAAGTTTCTCAGCCTCAGCACTATTGACATTTGAGGTCAGAGAAGTTTTTATTGTGAGGAGCTGGCCTGTGTATTTTAAGATGCTTAGAGCACCCCTGGTCTCTACCCACCAGATACCAGTAGCATCCTTCCCAAGTTGTAACAACCAAAAATATCTACACATTGCCAAATGTCCCCTAGGGGATCAAAACACACACACACACACACACACACACACACACACACACACACACGGTTGGGACCACTGGTCTACCAGATAATCCTGTGTCCTGTGAGTGGGAGTAATTGCCCCTAATTTACACATAGGAAAACTGAGGCCTAAGGCAGTTAACTGCTATAGAGAGAAGTGAGGCTGTGCTGATTAAGGATTGTGAGATAACTCGGGGAATGAGGTTACTGGTAGAACCTTCCTCAGGGTCAGGTTGATAAATGTTGAGGCATTTGAAGGGATGGGGCTTGAGTTTCATGGACAAGGCGGCCTCTAAAGATGAGTGGGACCTGGAGATGTGAGAGTGTGAGTTAAGGAAAATCATCAAATCAGAGCAAGAAGGAGAAAGAGCTCTGGACCAAAGACTGACTTTGGCTGGAGCCCACGTGAGTGGCAGGCTTCACTGGGGAGGTCTGAGACATCTCCCTAAGGAGTGCAATATCCCTGTGCAGGCAATAGGGAGCCAGCGAAGGTTTTAGAGGAGGGGACAGGCACAATGAGAGCCACACTGCAGGAAGTGTAGTATGGCAGGGTTTCCAGGTTTCGTGGGATGGGTGACCCTTGGGCATACAGTTTTCAAAGAACTCCTAACATCCTCTTTTTATCTCATGATAGGATGTGGGGTTCAATACCACAACAGGCCATCCAGGAAGGACCATTTTCCAAGACTGAGAGTGGCTGTAGGGTTCCAGCTATAAGGACCTCTGGGTTTTAGTCCACTGAGACCCCCTCTTTCATAAAGAAAGATTTTCTCTCCTACAGAGCAAATAAAATGGCCCCAGCCAGCCCCCAGAAGTGTGGGTCTATTATTGGTGAAAGTAAACGTCTGATTCACCACCCGCAGGCCCTGAAAACCTCAGGGCTCACTTCCCAGTCCCCCTGGGAGAACCAGAAGGGCCAAGGTTGCCTCAGGGCTTCAGAGAACTCCAATCCTTCCCACCCACACATACTTCTCTCATCTAGTTAATAAACATCGAATCCAGGGAATCGGAGGTCATGTGATCTAGCCTCCTTATGAGGGAGGAAATCCCTCCATGGCACCCTGGAGAGATGAGTTACGACCCTGCTAGGCCCACTTTAGGGATGAGGTGGACAGAACCACACAATGAGGTCCCCCTGGTATATTGGCAGAATAAAAAAGATGGAGAACGCCCAGGGTTGACAAGGATGCCAGTGATCTTATTGATGGAAACATAGATTGCTAGAGTCGTAGTTATCAAAATTCAAAATGTGTAAACCCATTCACCTGGGTCAGTGCCAATAGCCAGACATGATCACGTGTGTGTTTACAAAGCTGTATGTTCAAGAAAGTTCAGTACAACATTGTTTGCAATAATAGATCATTGCAAATAATGCAAATGTTCGTCCATAAGACAATGAGTCCATACATTGGGAAAATCCATACCTAGTAGCCAATTTGAAAAGAAAGCATACATCTTAATTTACTGAGGAAGAAAAATATATCCATTGTATTAAACAAGTTAATATACAGAGTGGGGCAAAAGTAGGTTTACAGTTGTGAGTGAGTGAAACACAGTTTATTCTTGTATTTAGAATTTATTAATTGCTGTATTATTTTTCATATGAACAACTGTAAATCTACCTTTGCCCCACCCTGTATATATAACACAACTGCATTTATTGGTTGGTTTTGGGGGGGACCATAAATTTGTAACTTCTCAGTTATATTTCAACATATGGGAAACATAATGAAGAAAAAAATCTCACTCTTTATTGATCATAATCACATAAAAAGCCAGAAGATGGTACAAAACATCAGTTTTCCCATCAAATGACCCTTCGGTGCCCAAGGAATTGGCTGCAGGTGGGCATCTAGGGCTCTTCTGTCTGCCTGTGCCCCCTCTGCTCTCCTTCCCCAGGTGACCAACTCTGCTCTCACCTGTTGCTTGCCTCACAGTGGCCGGCCATCCTGGATGGAAAGAAGGCCATGGGGCCCCCAAGCTCACTCCCACTGTCTGGCTGTTCTCTGAAGGAGGAATTGTAGGTTGTTCCTCAGAGCAGTGAGTCTCAAAGACCAACAGGCATCCCTTGTGCTCAAGTGGACAGCCTCTCATAGCAGGACTGAAGGAGTACACCACCCAGGTCTCTGTCAAAACCTTTCCCAGCACAGGTGAGGAGGAGCAAAACAGAGCTGTGCAGGTGGGGGAAATTTTATCCAGCTACATATCTATATGGATGTGCAAGGAATGTGTTCACACTCATACATGACACATGTATCTTGGTATTCATACACACATGTATGTATATATAAGCATATATGCATGTGTAGACACATACATATGTGCATACACATATGTACACACATACATATCTTTGTCTATAGCAATATTTAGAAAAGAGTGTGAAAGGATACACTCCAAACTGCTATAGCAGTGGGGAGAGGGAACAGTGATGAATGAGTATTTTTTATAACTATGTGTTGTTTATGTTCCATTTAAACAAAAATTAGATGCATTCCTGCATCTAATTGACAATTAGAACAACCATTTCAAAGGACAAAAAACAAAGTTCTACTTTTTTAAATGTTTCTTTTTGTGACATGAAACTGCCTCCCTGGAGCCTCCAAGTAGCTCCCTTCCCCACTGCAGGCCCCATGGCACCTCACCCCAGCCCCTCAGACATTTGGGACCCACAATCAGGCTCACCCCATTCCAAAGGCTCCTCCTCTCCCACCCCATCGGACACACCACACCGTCCCTTCCCCCGACCATCCTGGTTGCTCACTATGGAGCCCAGCATCCACTCAGCAAACTGATTGCTCATTGAGTGGCAGGCCCTCAATTCACAGAAGTGAATTCATTCTGAGGGGGGTTCAAACCATGAGCAGTCATATTCAACTGTAAGGAGCCACACAAGAGAGCCACCGAGCCTGCCTGGGCTGTGGGAAGAAGGGCTTCTCCAGGGAGGTAACCCTCAGGCTAAGCCTGGCAAGATGAGCAGGTGTTGGGCAACCTGGAAAGAACAAATGACATTTGCAAAGGTTCAAAGGCATGAAAGACCATGGCACGTTCAGCATATGGCAAAGAGGTCGAGGTAACCAGAGAGCAAGGTGCACGTGAGAGCTCGGTAGAAACATGATCCTGGGGAGAAAGCAAGAGGCGATGTAGGAAAGGTGGCACCAATTGGGACCCATTCTGTAGGCCATGGGGGGCGGGGAGGGGGGCACCAAAGGATTTAGCCGGGGACAGCTGTGGTCAGATTGGTGCAGGGCAGTGGATTTCAAATAGTGATTATGTTGCCTCGCTCCTGGGGAAATTTGACAATGT